TCATCTGGAGCTTAAAAAACAACACAAAACAAAAAGAGGAGCTTTGGAAACCAGAGAGGATTCGTTTCTTGCTAGAAGTGGGACCCCTGCTCGGCTGACCCGAGGCCGGGGTGGAGGGTCGGGGGGGGGCCAGTCTGCCCTGGAAAGGGAGTCCCCCCCAAGCCCATTCATCAGACCAGCTTCCCGGACCAGAGCTCAAACACTAGGTTCTCAGTTAAGAGCAGGTTAGGCTACAGAAAGGTAAGATTGGAAAAGTGCCAAATGAACCTGAAGAATTCATCCCTGAAAAAGGGGTGGTGTCATGACATACGTTTTGTCTTTAAATCTCAGGTACATGGTAAATAATGAAAACCATGATAGTTCAGTCAAGTGAAAAAGCAAACAGAAAAAGAAAAGTAGGAAGACGCTACAATAGGAACGGTGGACTAGAGTTAGGCAGAAGATATCAGATTGCGAGAAGGGATCACTGAGTGAAAAAGAGAATTCCAGATTGTGACGAAGCCTGGCCAGTGCGGATTGTCTGATGACTGTGCTGCCACCTACAAAAGCTGTCCCTGGCACTGTGCCAGTCTTACGTGACATCACAAGGCAAGGAGGAAAGTACGAATCTCCCCAGTCCACAGATGAGGAGGCTGAGGCTCAGAAGAGACTCGTGTGCTCAAAGTCACAAAACTAACAACCAGAGTCCTCCTTGACCTGGAGTCTTATGTTCTTTTTCCAATTAAAGTGTCATGATTCCCAACTCCTTAAACAATTTGGAGGAAAAAGTAGACAAAAAGTTTTTCCCCCTTTGATACATCTATCATATAAAAATAAATGGGTAAGCTGGGTGTGGTGGTGCACACCTGCAGCCACTGCTGCTCAGGAGGCTGAGGTGGGAGGATCCCTTAAGTCCAGAAGTTCGAGGCCAGCCTGGGCAACAGAGTGAGACGACATCCCCCCTACTTAAAAAGTAAATAAATAAATAAACGGGTTCTGAATGGCCTTCTCCCCTGTGGAAGATGTAATTAAACTACTAGAAGAGAAGTAACTAATTTAGATGAATGATACTGTAATGTCTGTCCCCCTCATTCATTTTCTAAGCAGTAATTAAAGTTAAGAGTCAATGGTAGGGTCTTTCAAGAGGCTGGAGTAAAATGTTTTATTCTTTCATGTTCTTTCATTCTCTTTCTTTCACTAAAGACAAAACAGAAAAATGCCATATTTGAGGATTTCAGGGGTACACAAAGCTTTCTGTGGCATCAGGGAGAGTTCCTGACCTCGCTAAGGAAACCAGATGGAAAGAACAATAGATACTAAACATACTGTATAGAAAAAACAAATATTGCGTTAATCGCAATCTTGATTCCAAAGATAAAAACAATGGAGTATCTCCGGGCAGTGTGGGTTGAATGGTTCTGTAGAAGACAAGCTTGAGTATTCCATCTTTCCCCTTTCCCATTGTTTAGTCCCTACTGTTTTTCTGACTTTCTCCTGCTCCAGGTGGGATTTTATGTAATGTATGTTACTGGTCTAAAGATGAAAGCCCATTGGAAACCAGCTTCCTATTAGTTCCATACATTTTAGGATTTCTTCCCTGGCCTAATAAAATATAGTATTTTGATGTTGGGTATTTCCTCCCAACCACCAAATATGTGCAATTTCTTTAATTTGGTTTCTTGGTTCAACTTGAGCTGTTTGCTCCTTTCCCCCCTATTGAGTAGAATTGGATAATAGCAGATCTAATTTTTAGCTCCATATAATTTAGAAAACAAGGGAATAAGGCTTAAATTGAACTACACAAACACTAACTTAGAAATAATAAATACTCTCCAACCAGCCCGGAGGGTTCAGTCTCCATGACCACACGTACCATAACTGGGAGAGGCGTAAGAGGCTTGAACCTAAATAACTCCTCTGTTTATCCTTGCAAGACTGTCCACCATGTTCAAATCCTTTATTTTCTCAGGCCTGGAAAACTGTTGAATCCTGTTAGTGTAGGAAATTGAAAAAATTCCCTTCTCAGGAGATGGTTAGGCTGAGAATTGACAAGTGACAGGGGAGAGTGGAGCTGGCCTGTGTTTCCATAATCCTATTAGGCGGCTCCTAGCAGAACTCAATCTGGCCTTGAAGTGGATGGCTGGAAGATAATGGGCCTTTGATTTTAAGTGTCACTTAACTAGATAGGTAAACCTCTAATCCTGGAGCTCAAGGACTCATCAGCATAATCAAACACTGAGCTCGAGGACCCTCGAAGGACCCCACTTCCCCTGACAGTCTGGTGGTGTAATGAACAGTTGTTACAAAACGCTCCCTGGAGACAGGGGCCTTCTTGGAGTGGAGGCAATTTACTCTCTGCACTGGAAACTCATCCCCTCTAGACAACAGGGTTGATCTCGAGTGTCGGAGTGAAGAGGAACTCCTCTGCAGCCTGCTCGCCAAGGTAAAGACCAGGTTCACTCTTGGAGTAACTGTCATCAGTCTCAAGATGTCTTCTGGGTAACAAAGGATGCTGAGACAGCTGCTTCTTCATTAGCCAGGAAAATTAAATAGAAACCTGTAGTGAGCAGAACACCCACCTGCTAACACCAGCTCATTTCTCCTGGGACGGCCAATCTAGATGCATAAATGGGATGATTTTTTGTCTCGTTGTCCTATCAACTACTGACAGAGGGACGTTAAAATCTCCAGCTATGATTATGGATTTGTCTATTACTCTCTTAAATTCTCTCAATATTTCTTCATGCATTTGAAGCTCTATTACTGGGTGTATATAGTTTTATGACCATTATATGCTCCTGGAGAATTGCTCCTTTTAACTCGGGCAATATTTATCATCCTGAAGTCTATTTTATTGTCTGTGAATATGGCCACTCCAGCTCTGTAAAGCATACTGTTTGTATGACACACTCTTTTTACATTTAATCTAATTGTATTTATGTATAAAGATAACATATAGTTGGGCTTTTATTTTTTCTCCAGTCTAATATCTCTGCCTTTAAATTGGAGTGTTTAATCCATTTACACTTAATGTTAATTACTGATGTGGTTGGGTTTAAGTCTGCTGCTCCAATTTGTTTTCTGTTTGTCCCATCAGTGTGTTTGTTAATTTCTCTGCTCCTCCTTTCTTACTTTCTTTTGGATCAATTGAATATTATTTAGAATTCTATTCTCAGATCCCTTCTGCCTTTTTAGCTGTGCCTCTGCATTTTTTTTCAGAAGAGCAAATATGACTTTTAAAAGAATGAAAACAAATACCCTAACACCCTCTGCCTCGGGGTATTTTATGGGTATATTAAATGATGTAATGGGTTACACAGGAGAGCTAAGAATCCCCCTACCTCTGGATCCCACCAACCCTTTAACAAGAGGGAAAAGCCATTCTCCCTGCCTTCTATGATTCTAGATAGTAAAAGAATTAATAGTGGTTTTTCTTTAAGTAATCTTTATAGAAATCTAAATCCCTGGACCCTCACAGCTTCCATGCTAAGAACTCAGATTTCTGCACTTCTATTATGTTTCCTCATGGCTCTACCATGAAATTCCTCCCGACTCGTGCAGGACTGGAATCTAGTCTTTGAAAATGGCTCCAAAACCAAGTCTCAGGCCCGGAGAGACGTGAACAAATCTAAGGCTGGCAAGGAGCTCCCTCTTGAGGTAGCCTTTATAAAAATGCTGAAGACTGTGCAATTTGTATGAATTAGTTGCACCAGTTCCAGTTTCAGAAGATAATAAAATCCATCCAGAAGATGCACTGGCTGAATTATGGATGTGAATATCTTTTTATCAGAAATAGATTCTAACTTCCAAAAGCCAAGATAATCTCTAGCAGGAAAAAACAAAACCAAGGACAAAAATACATGCAACACAATGCCTCACTAAATGTATCCCTTAAATATAAAATAACAAAAAGCTAGAAATACACTAACGATCAGAAAGACAAACATGATTCCAGAGCTCTGGTGTTCCTGATAGTTTTAGACATTTTTTTAAATCTCTGCCAGGAAAAGGCAAGTTTTCTGCAGAGAGAGAGATGCATGGATTACACAGTAGCTATGAGAAAGACTCTCGGTCACAGGGGCCAGGGTCTAGATGCTTAGATATTTAGATATGAATTCTGCCACTTGGCAATTGTATGATCTTGAGGAAGGTTTTGGGAGTTTTGTGTTTGTTTGTTTGTTTCTGAGGCAGCATCTTACTCTGTCACCCAGGCTGGAGCACAGTGGTGTTACCACAGCTCACAGCAACCTCAAACCCCTGGGCTCAAGTGATCCTCCTGCCTTGGCCTCCCAAAATGCTAGAATTACAGGTATGAGCCACCACTCCTGGCCGTGAAGAGATTTTTAAACCCTCTTAAGCCATGTGCAAAGTGGGGGTAACAAGAAAATCTCCTCCAGAGGGTTGTGAGGAGAACTAAGTAATAAAATGCACATAAAGCCTTTAGCACAGGCCCAATGCAGAGAGCATTTGTCAGACTCTTTGATGAGGGACAGGACACCATTTTTTTTTTTTTTTTAAATCACCAAATCAGCTTCTTGTGTCTGGGTTATTGTACCCTTTCAACTTTAGTTTAGGAAAAAAATTATTTTCTAGATTTTTTTTTAAACCATCATGTGGGGGATGTGTCGGGGAAGTGTCGACTGAGTCACTTGCCAGATTGTCACAGTTCAGCCAAACACACGGCACAAGTTCTGTGTTGGGTCTCTGGCTTCACTGTGGTGAGGCTGCCTTTCCGACTCCATGCCAGGCATGTGGAAGCACCATTTTCTATTGGGATCTGTCATCTTGTTCCAAACTCCCGCTAACGACCAGCCTGGCATCAGAGTACAGGCAATGCTTTCTCTTTTGTAAAGGCAGCCCCTGCTGGACTGGTGCCGGGGACATCTTCGGTCAACTCTCAGTCTATTAATGTTATTTGTTTTCGTTTGTTGACTTGTTTTAGGTCTCCACCTCTGCCCACAATGTTCAAACAGCAAACAAAGCTGAGAAACCAGCAGGAAAGTCTGTAAGCTTTGAATAATACTGGAGAAACAAGAAGGAGAAAGAGGCAGGAAAATAAAGACCTCAGTTTCCAATAGATTAAATGGTAAGTATTGGGAAAACACCTGAAAGGAAGCACCCATTAGGGAAATTGACATAATCATGGCAAGACTAGAGAAAGACCTGGAAGATAAAACAAGACAGGGGAGTTAGGAGGCATCTGGAAGTTCTGGCTCAGAGAGTAAGTGGCTTGCTATCGTACAAAGCACGGCTCACACATTAAAACCAGACTGTATGTTGGAATAGAGGGAAGAGTCTGAGAACGGTTCTACGATCACATAGGGCTTTTGTGACAAAACAAGATATCCATGCTGGTGACAAGCCACTGCAGTGCCCTGGGCCCAGAGGATGGGGGAGTTAGTTTCTCTCCTTCGCCAGTAAGAGTACCTGGGTGGGGAGAAAGTGAGAAATACTGCTCTAAAACATCAGAAGAAAACCGCCTCCCAGGTATGTGGCTCCGTGAAACCTCTTTCAGGCCCACCCATTGACCATTCAGAGTGCCTCTGACCTGCAAGTCTTCACCTGGGAGCAGGTGTGCATGGGGGACATGTAGAAGCTTCCAGAAGGCACCAGATGTTGCCCCATCTGGGAATCCAGGTGACCCTCATGTCCTCACTATGGGGCAGGCCACTGACCCCTCTGCCAAGAGTGGCTCACCTGGCTTTAAAGGTGAGAAGACTTGGAGGCCCGTCAGGTAACAGGCAGAGTGACGCCGCCCAGAGACAGGCGGGACTTCTCTTTCCTGTGAGGAATGGGCTACAGCAGGGCACAGTCTGTGCACTCCCACCTTCCTCTGGGACCCAGGGAGGCCTGGGAAGGTCCCCAAAGTGAAAACAGAAGCCAACGTCGCATTTCCCAGTGGCCTCACCACAACACCTTTCCAAATCTTGATTCGCCCTAGACAGAGAACTTGAAAGGGAAGGTGATAAGCGGGTAGCTTTTCAGATCAGGAACACGTCACTCAGCGCTTGCGGTTCCCAGCTCTGGCCTTTGTCTCGGTGGACATCATGGCCACAGCGGGCCGTGTCATTGGGGTTGCCGGTGAGTCTGTGGAGATGTTGCGCGCGGTCTCTCAAGGAGAAGAGATCATTGTGTGTGTGCATGTGTACGTGTGTGTATGTGCGTGTTAAAAGGGTATTAGACTGTTAACTTTCATTAACTTTCAATAATTACAGCTCACGTTCTATGAAATAGGTAAATATAATTATCCCCATTTTCTGAAGAGAAAACAGGCGCTATAGATGACTAACATCAGAGCTCTTCCTAATGATGGCGTCTGACTCCAGAGCTCACGCAGGTCAGACTGCTTTTGAAGTCAGTAGAAATCTCTTTCGAGAGCGAAGATTTCAGATCGAGGTCCTCTTTCAAGTTTTAAAAAGCAAATGTTTTCAAAATTGAGTGTATAACTTGGTACAGAAATAATTGTGATCACAGGAAAACACCTGGTCTCCTCGGGTTGCAGCGCCGTGTTCCCGGCACGCGGGGTCTGAGCTGGCTGAGCAGGGCAGCAGGGAGAGGAGAGGGCGGCCTGGCAGGAAGGAATCAGCGGAAGCCACTGTGGCCAGACAGAACCTTCTCCTCCACCAGAGAGGAGCTGCTCGCTGGCCTGCTAACGCCAAGGGCATCAGTACCTGGCATTATAGTCAAATGCCGCTGGAGCAGCTGCAGTCAAGACTCAGAGACCTAGAAGCTTCCAGCCCACGCCTCGAGTCTGGAGAACACCTGGACTTCCCAGGGCAGATGGCTGCCTGTGTCCCACCTGCAGGTTTCCAGGGAGGGACCTCACTCCTCCTTACTGTTATTTCCAGCTTTCCCCTGGTGACCGGAGTACAGACAGCACTTCCTGCCCAGCGTGGCCCACTCTGTCCTTCCCTGTTCTTTGTCTCCTGTCCTGGGCCTTACAAGGGATCTGGCCCATTCCTAAGAGGAGAACAGCTTCCATTTGCTGTCATCACCGTGGCCCTAGCATTGGGCCAAGGGCTTGCTTACCCAACACACCCTATGAGATTAACTCTTGCAGGAACTCCCCTCTTAGCTTTCCCCCCATGTCACCCTGACAGGTACATCCATGGGGTATCCTACTTTCATCCCCTGGCTCTTCAAGACCCCCAGACGACCACCACACAGCCCCTTTGCTTTGATGACTGCTTCCTCTGTCTCGGCAAATGGCACCAGGCCTACCCAGTGGGAAATCCGTGGGCCACCCCACCTCCACGCCCAGCCGTCGGGAAGTTCTACTGAGGCTCTCTCCAAAAACATGCACCTTTTTCTCTCATTGCTACCTCTGTCCTCTTCCTCTTTGTTCAGTTCCTCAGCCTACAGGAAGAGCCTCCTAGCCGGGCTCCCTGCTCCACGGTGGCCCCTTCCAATCTTTGCCCTGCAGCAGCAGAAGTGATGTGATCGCAGAGAGAACATTCTCTTGGAGCTCCACAGGTGGGCTGCCCGTCCCACCTATGATGAACACAGACTTTAGGTGTCAGCCAGAAGGGCACCTCGTTAGCAAGATTGTTTCCTTGGCAACACGTCTTATTTCCCCTCCCCCCATAGTCTCTCCTTCAGCCTCCTGTTTGTGTGCAGCATTGCACTTATTAAAACCTGAAATTATTTTATCCATTTCTTTGTCACTTGCTGTATTAGGATACACAAAATATGCATGTTGCTGGTACATCACAATATATGTCCCATGAACAAGGGTCTGTGCTTGTCTGTTCGTGACTATATCCAGGTCCTCAATAAAGTTTTGTTGCAGGTTGAATAAATGACCCACCTGGTGCTCGGATTTTGTCCTGCTCCTCATTCCACCCCACGTGCCTCCTTCAACCCTCAACTTTCAACTCTCTTGGTTTTAGTGGAGACACTCCCACGAGTAGCTGTCCTGCCAGAGGAGACCAAACACCCTACCGGAGACCTCTGGTTCCTGCCTCCTGACTCCCTGGCACCTCGCTCAAGAACGGCAGCATCTAGAGCCTGAGGTGGACTTCCTGGGCCCCGCATCTGTCCAGCCAAGGCAGCTTCAAGATGCAAGACTAGTAACCAGCAATCCTGAAGTAGGAAGCCCAAGAATGACAAAGGGCATCTATGATTCCCTGGGTTTGACCATTTTGTACTAACAACTCATCATCATGGCCTTTTCCAGACTGCTCATACCTGGCCTCTCAGGAGAGGAAGTGGGTCAGTCCTATTGGTAACTTCCTCCAGCACCCAAAAGCCCTGCTCCCTGGGGATCTGCCAAGATGGTCCCGGGCTGGGTAGGTAGGTAGGTAGACAGGTGGGTGGGCAGGTGCACAAATGTGGGGCTCAGCTACAGGCCCCCCCACTTAAATCAGCCATGATATTGGACAGGCTACCCTCCCTTTCCAAATTCCATCAGCAGGTGAGAGAGAACACCTGACACTTCTGTTGTGAGGGGTAAGGAGGAAAATGCATCTGAAGTGCTCAGTGTGGCGCCTAGCGCTCAAATAGGAGCAATTGCTGTCGTGTGAGCGTCCCCAGCTGGGCGTGTGTGAGGGGCAGAAGGGAGCTGGTGCCTCCTTTCATAGGAGAACCCCGATCCTGGTGCCCCCGGTCCTGCACCTGCTTCTGCAAGAGGCTGGTCTCTGCCAAGCCTAGTTACCCTGCGTGGCCCCACAGTCCCCTCCCCGCTAGCAGGCTACTGCCCGGGGGGCGAGGGGAGGGAGGCTGATTCAGGGACCGACCACCTGGCATTAAACCCAAGGAGCTTCATTCCATTTCTGTGGGCACATTTTATAAACTAGTCAAGGCCGTTGGGTTTTCACTAAGGTCTTCTGGAGGGTTGGCGGCTCACTGAGCCAGGGGCGCTGTGAGTTGAGAAACAGCCCGGCTGCTGCGCCCAGACCACAGTGCGTGCTAGGCTGGCACTTCGGCTGAGTGACCTTGTGAGCGGTCGACCCCCCTAAAAATGCTAACATTAAGTTAGCAGGCGTCTTTGTTCATGTCCTCCCCCAAAGCACGTCTGTTCTCTAAAGAAGAGGGAACCTAACTTAAAGTCATCAGGGAGCGAATGCACAGCCACCAGCCGATATGGAGGAAGATGCCGAGCTATGGACACAGCTGTGACTGTTCCCGGGCCGGTGGCCCAGGGCCACTAACTTCCCCTCTCGTCCCGCTTCCCACTTGCCGAACATTTCTCTCACACTGGGATGAGTAGATAGGAGAGGAAAATGTGAAAGGCAAATCACCAATTATTTTTTTTTATATTAACTAAGAGCAAGCTTTTCAACATCCTCTAAGGATTAGCAATACCTGTGTCCTTCCTTGGTCCCTAGCATACGAGTAGGCTTTGTGCAGAGGGAGGAGGGGAGAGACGGTGGCTCTGCCGGGTGAGAGAGCCACTCCCCGGGCGGGTACAGACGCACGCGTGCTCCCCCACAGCTGTGCCGAGAAACACGGGACTGGCAAGAAAATGTAGAACCCTGCCTTTGCCCGACGTTTTGTGGGGACCCTCCGACGGTTGGGTCTACAAGGTGCATCGCTTCCCTCACCATCAGTCCGTCTTGTCTGGTCTTGGGAACGTGACGAAGACGGAGCTGGCTTGCATGAAAAGCTCGTGGGCACCTTTGGGCTGCCATGATCCTGAGACATCCAGGCCATGGCTTGCCACAGTCACTGCGGCTCCCTGAAGACTGTCCTCAGGAGGCACCTGGGGCCTCACATCTGTGCCACCAAGGCCCCTCCCCATCTGCTTCAGGACAGGGGTCCCTGCCACTAGGCAGCCTCTGTTCCCTGAAGGCCAATACCCCCGGGGGCTTTTAAAATAACACCAGTGAGGTGTTTGAGCTTCCACGCCACCTTTCTGCTCAGCATCTGGAAGCTCCTTGGATATACTTGGAAGTTATTAAAGCCCTCACAGGGAAGGTGGGTGTTGGTGGCTCTGCCTGGAAGATTCACAACCAGCTCGGTGGCAGGGCGAGCCCTGGTGACATCTTCAACCCTGCTGCCCCCTGGAAAGAGGCAATTTGTCACTTGCCCCCAGAGTTGCCTGCCACAAGTTGTATATTGATTAAATATATGAGGGACCACATGCTAGGCACATTTTACCTTTGAAATCCAAAACTGCTATGAAAATAAATGTGATTATCCCTGATACTCATCTCTCTTTTAATGCAACTCTAATTGTTATAAAAGTGGAATTTGAAAATCATGATTAAAAATGTAGGGGAACAGATTAAATAAAAAGCTACTCATTTCCTGAGACTCTGATGAGACATTTTCCTCGAATGGAAAATTTTCTCCACTGGGCCCTTTCCCAGTTCGACTGCAGTCAGTAATTCACTTCCCCACCAAAACACTCGGCCCTCACTGTGTGCGAAGCACAGTGCGTGCAACGCAAAGATCAAACTCACGTTTTGTCCCTGCGAAGTACCACAGCCGTGGACTGTCCAGAAGCCACAGACGCGCTGAGGGACATGATTCTGAGCACAAACCCGGCAAGGGCGGCCCGTCCTTTGAGCAGAGCCCTGGCTGCACTGGCTGCACTGGCTGCTCGCATATAGTCCAATGCCTGCTGAGCAGCTGCAGTCAAGACTCAGAGACCTAGGAAGCTTCCAGCCCCATGCCTCGCGGTCTGGGACACCTGCGACTTCCCAGGGGCAGTGGCTGCCCTGTGTCCCACCCTGCGGTTTCCAGGGAGGACCTCACTTCCTCCTTTACTGTGATTTCCAGCTTTCCCCTGCTGGATGCCGGAGTACGACAGCACTTCCTGCCCAGCGTGGCCCACTCTGTCCTTCCCTGTTTTTGTTCCCTGTCCTGGGCTTTATCAAGGTCTGGGCCCGTTCCTAAGGAGGAGAGGAACAGCTTCCATTTGCTGTCATCACCGTGGCCTAGCATTGGGCAAGCTCTGTTACCAACACACCTTTCTATGAGATTAACTTGCAGGAAACTGCCCTCTAGCTTTCCCCATGTTCACCTGGACAGGGTGCATCCATGGTATCTATTTCATCCCTGGCTCTTCAAGACCCCCAGACGGACCATCCACAGCCCCTTTGGCTTTGGATGACTGCTTCCTCTGTCTGCGGCAATGGCACCAGGGCGCTACCATGGGAATCGTGGCACCCCCTCCACGCCCAGCCGTCGGAAGTTCTCCTGAGGCTCTCTCCAAAACATGACCTTTCTTCATTGCTCTCTGTCCTCTTCCTCTTTGTTCATTCCTCAGCCTACAGAAGACGCTGCCTAACCGGGCTCCCTGCTCCGCGGTGGCCCCTTCCAAATCTTGCCCTGCAGCAGCAGGAAGAGTGGATCGCAGAGGAACATTCTCTTGGAGCTCGGCAGGGGCTGCCATCCCACCTATGATGAACACAGCTTCTAGTGTCAGCAGAAGGGCACCCTCGTTAGCAAGATTGTTTTCCTTGGGCAGCAACGTCTTTTTCCCCTCCCCCATAGGCTCTCCTTCAGCCTCCTGTTTTGTGTGAGCATTGACTTTAAACCTGAAATATTTTTGATCCATTCTTTGCACTTGCTGTATTAGGATACCCAAAAATATCATTGTGCTGGTGCTCACAACATATGGTCCATGAACAAGTCTGTGCTTGTCTGTTCGTGACATATCCAGGTCCTCAACAATTTGTTGAGGTGAATAAATGACCCACCTGGTGCTCGGATTTTGTCTGCTCCTCATCACCACGTTGCCTCCTTCAACTTCAACTTTCAACTCTCTTGGTTTTAGTGGAGAGGACTCCACGGGTAGCTGTCCTGCCAGAGGAGACAAATGGCCTACGGAGGACCTCTGGTTCCTGCCTCCTGACGTCCCTGGCACTCGCTCAAAGAACTGAGATCTTAGAGCCTGAGGGTGGACTTCCTGGGCCCCATCTGTCAGCAAGGCAGCTCAAGTTCTGAGGCAGCATCTTACTCTGTCACCCAGGCTGGAGCACAGTGGTGTTACCACAGCTCACAGCAACCTCAAACCCCTGGGCTCAAGTGATCCTCCTGCCTTGGCCTCCCAAAATGCTAGAATTACAGGCATGAGCCACCACTCCTGGCCGTGAAAAGATTTTTAAACCCTCTTAAGCCATGTGCAAAATGGTGGTAACAAGAAAATCTCCTCCAGAGGGTTGTGAGGAGAACTAAGTAATAAAATGCACATAAAGCCTTTAGCACAGGCCCAATGCAGAGAGCATTTGTCAGACTCTTTGATGAGGGACAGGACACCATTTTTTTTTTTTTTTTAAATCACCAAATCAGCTTCTTGTGTCCGGGTTATTGTACCCTTTCAACTTTAGTTTAGGAAAAAAATTATTTTCTAGATTTTTTTTTAAACCATCATGTGGGGGATGTGTCGGGGAAGTGTCCACTGAGTCACTTGCCAGATTGTCACAGTTCAGCCAAACACACCGGCACAAGTTCTGTGCTGGGTCTCTGGCTTCACTGTGGTGAGGCTGCCTTTCCGACTCCGTGCCGGGCATGTGGAAGCACCACTTTCTATTGGGATCTGTCATCTTGTTCCAAACTCCCGCTAACGACCAACCTGGCATCAGAGTACAGGCAATGCTTTCTCTTTTGTAAAGGCAGCCCCTGCTGGACTGGTGCCGGGGACATCTTCGGTCAACTCTCAGTCTATTAATGTTATTTGTTTTCGTTTGTTGACTTGTTTTAGGTCTCCACCTCTGCCCACAATGTTCAAACAGCAAACAAAGCTGAGAAACCAGCAGGAAAGTCTGTAAGCTTTGAATAATACTGGAGAAACAAGAAGGAGAAAGAGGCAGGAAAATAAAGACCTCAGTTTCCAATAGATTAAATGGTAAGTATTGGGAAAACACCTGAAAGGAAGCACCCATTAGGGAAATCGACATAATCATGGCAAACTAGAGAAAGACCTGGAAGATAAAACAAGACAGGGGAGTTAGGTGGCATCTGGAAGTTCTGGCTCAGAGAGTAAGTGGCTTGCTATCATACAAAAGCACGGCTCACACATTAAAACCAGACTGTATGTTGGAATAGAGGGAAGAGTCTGAGAACGGTTCTACGATCACATAGGGCTTTTGTGACAAAACAAGATATCCATGCTGGTGACAAGCCACTGCAGTGCCCTGGGCCCAGAGGATGGGGGAGTTAGTTTCTCTCCTTCGCCAGTAAGAGTACCTGGGTGGGGAGAAAGTGAGAAATACTGCTCTAAAACATCAGAAGAAAACCGCCTCCCAGGTATGTGGCTCCGTGAAACCTCTTTCAGGCCCACCCATTGACCATTCAGAGTGCCTCTGACCTGCAAGTCTTCACCTGGGAGCAGGTGTGCATGGGGGACATGTAGAAGCTTCCAGAAGGCACCAGATGTTGCCCCATCTGGGAATCCAGGTGCCCCTCATGTCCTCACTATGGGGCAGGCCACTGACCCCTCTGCCAAGAGTGGCTCACCTGGCTTTAAAGGTGAGAAGACTTGGAGGCCCGTCAGGTAACAGGCAGAGTGACGCCGCCCAGAGACAGGCGGGACTTCTCTTTCCTGTGAGGAATGGGCTACAGCAGGGCACAGTCTGTGCACTCCCACCTTCCTCTGGGACCCAGGGAGGCCTGGGAAGGTCCCCAAAGTGAAAACAGAAGCCAACGTCGCATTTCCCAGTGGCCTCACCACAACACCTTTCCAAATCTTGATTCGCCCTAGACAGAGAACTTGAAAGGGAAGGTGATAATCGGGTAGCTTTTCAGATCAGGAACACGTCACTCAGCGCTTGCGGTTCCCAGCTCTGGCCTTTGTCTCGGTGGACATCATGGCCACATCATTGGGGTTGCCGGTGAGTCTGTGGAGATGTTGCGCGCGGTCTCTCAAGGAGAAGAGATCATTGTGTGTGTGCATGTGTACGTGTGTGTATGTGCGTGTTAAACGGGGTATTAGTCTGTTAACTTTCATTAACTTTCAATAATTACAGCTCACGTTCTATGAAATAGGTAAATATAATTATCCCCATTTTCTGAAGAGAAAACAGGCGCTATAGATGACTAACATCAGAGCTCTTCCTAATGATGGCGTCTGACTCCAGAGCTCACGCAGGTCAGACTGCTTTTGAAGTCAGTAGAAATCTCTTTCGAGAGCGAAGATTTCAGATCGAGGTCCTCTTTCAACTTTTAAGTTTTAAAAAGCAAATGTTTTCAAAATTGAGTGTAT